TTGCCAGTTCTTCCAGTATTCACTATTCTAACTAGTCCCTTGCCTGGAGCGCATTAAAATCTTTGAGGTTTGGGGTTGTTTTTTTTCAGTTTTTGTTGGTTTTATTTGTTTGCTTGTTTGTTTATTTGCTTGCTATTTGGAGAAAATAAAATCCAGCAATTTACCTTTTCCATATATTTAACACACATCTACATTGTGAGTTTTCTCAGTGCGGAAGAAGAAACTTATTATGTATCTTGACTCCTTTGGAAAACTCATCTTGGCTGGGTTTGAGGGTTTCTGAATTTATCCCTACATTTTTCAAACTCCAAGCCACTCCATGACCTCAGTGTGTTTGCTGTATGGGAACTGGAAGGGCTTGAAGGAAGACAAGCCACTTAATTATGGGGTTGCCTTCCTGATATAGTTGCCCACACAGGATGAAGCTATAATGGAAGACCAGAAAATCTGCTTGAAAAGAGGTCAAAGCAGTTAGGAGCCCTAAGGCTTCTATATTTTCTGGGCAAACAAACCATGTGACGTAGAGTCCCATGCAGCTATGTCACATCAATCAAGCACTTTAAATAATGTAATGCCAGAAGTGAGAGACCCGAGGGGGAACCACCCAGGGGTTCCAAGAGCACTGTGCTCCCCATCTGTGACCAAACCGGACTGATACCCAACTGCTGAGCAGCTGACTGAAACAACAGGGTGGAAAAAGGCCACAAGAACAGAGATATAAACACAGCTGGGGATGTAGGCAAACTGCAGGTTAATCAAGGTCAAGGCCAGATGACTCCACCGTAGTCATAAACCATTAAAAGAAGCAGCCTGATGGAGAAGCAGACCTCAGGTTCACTGGAAAAAGCCCCTGAACTCAGCCTCAAAGAGATCATGCTGTGAGCAGCTCTAAAGCAGCCAATGACCTTTGGCAATGGGAGCAAGGAATGGGAAAGGCGATCTCCAGAAGCAGCCAGTCATGATAACTGTTGACAGGCTGCAGTCCTGCGAGCGCTAGACCAGCGTAGCATGAAAACTGCAGTGCAGCCAGATGTATGAGGAAATGGGCGCTCTCTCTCCAGTAGGGTAGAATGGATGAGATCTGAACTCCACACTTTCTGTGGAAAGCAATAATTAGCAGTGTGTGTGTTGTTCCTTTTCCAGTTCTCAGATCGCCAACCAAAATGTGGCATCAGCTAAGGAAAATCCCATCCCTTTCCATAGGGTTGTGTCTTCATATGCACGGAAGACAAAGGACTCCCTAAGATAAGAGTGTTTCTGAAGAGCTTAAATTCCAAAAAAAAGCGCAGAGTATCTGTCAGTGTCACCAAATGAAAGCAATTTTGCACTTAAAATACAAAAACATACCCAAATTGAGCAGCACTGATGACACGGCTCTGTGCCCATGCAGAGATGTGATGCCAACTGGCAGAGGGCTTCTAGATGCTGCCATCTCACCCAGCAGCTGCAGAGACACAGCTTTGCTTTGGAAGCACAAACACAAGCTCGGGAGCCAGTCAAGCTCACTGCTCCCATCTTGATAAGCATACCTGTTGCTTTGTGACTGTGGGCAACAACTTAGTGCATTAACTTTCTCAGTTGCATTTCAGATATAGCTTGGTTAGAAATTTGAAATTAGAAATTTCTGTGCTAACACAGAAAATCCATAGGACATTAAGAAAAAGGAAATCATGTGGGTCAGTTCCTCGGCACTGATTTGACTACAGTGTAACTAACCAAAAAAACAAAAAAAAAAGTTAGTGAATGGAAATATAACATGAATTAACCACCCACAGCATCATCATACTTGAACCTACAGAGAAACAATGCTAGAAAGATAAAGGACAAGAAAAGAGGTAGCAGTTTGATGTTGTTATAAAAGCATTTGGAGCGGGCATAGTTGCAACTTTATTTATTTATTTATGCTCCCTATTTAAACACAAAAATAGACAAGGGGCATCACAGCATTTATGAAGGGTGAAAATGGTGCCTTTGTTGCTGTGGAAACTCTTGGCCCAGAGTTCTGGAGTATGAAGTGGAGCCGTTCTCAGGGAAGGAAATCTGAGGAAAATCTTTGAGGGAGAAAAAATGCTATTTTCAGCCCCTAGAATGGGGCTGCACTTAATTAACCACAGTTTCTAGCTCCCTTGTCCAGTTGGTCTCTGACTCACCATGAAACCACCCGAGCAATGATGTTCACATACCTTGACTTGGCTGCATAGGCATTAAGCATCCGAGTCATCTGGTCTTACTTTATTTCTGAGGGCAGTAAATGCTTTGCACAGAGGTTCTGAAAGAAGCTCAGCTTCACGTGCAATCATATAAATAATTATGTTTTCAGCATAGAGCAGCATTTGGAAATTTCCTCTGTGATTCTGTGAGCAGATTTTCAAATAAGCAGTACAGCTCAGCCCAGGGACACAAGTGAGCCTTAATATCCCTTAATAGCTCAAAAACAAAGAAAGGAAAGGCCTCTCATAGAACAGTTCAGTATGGATAAGATTTTTCCCTATCTTAACAGGTGCATAGGAAAAAATCCTTTGAAACACATCAAAACTACACAAATGATTGATTTAATGCAGTGTTTCCAGAGGGATAAGAGTGACAGGAGTGTGTTAGGAATCGTTGTAGGGGGTAACTGTCTTCACTATGAATTCGTGACATAGCATTCCCTTTGTAGAATGGAAACTGCCATCATATATCAGTCTTTATTTAAGCATTCTTGGAATTAACACTTGGTATTTTCGAATTTTGTACATCTGAAGGATTTCCCATCTCTAACGAAAAAGCTCTGTGAGTATTCTTTTTCTTACACGGTTAAGCTCGTGAGCACGCCACCATAATATGCAAAGTCATTTGCCTACTAAAATCAATTATAGATCATTAGAGTGAGTAACTATGTAGAAGACAGAATTTGTCTATTTTTTTTTCCTGGTGTTTTGCAAAATATCTACAACAGGCAACAAAATCCCCTACAATAGTATTTTCTGAAAATTGCACTGTAGGTGGTGTCATGTTGATTTTGTCATAAAAGACAACATGCTGGAAATGACTGGTGCTTAGATATGTCAAATATAAACTGAAGAAATAACTTGAAAACATGAGGAAGCATTTGTGCTTTTCTCCCTCTGGACCTCTTTTTAAACTGAAGTCCAAATTAGCTCTCTGCACTGGTCTTGAAATGCTTACTTGCCAATTTAACCCAGCTTTGTTGGAAAGCTCCTCGGAATCATTTTTGAGGGACTGTTTGCATCTAAAGGAGCTGTACCAGACAACACACTTGTATTTGTTCCATTGACTTTGATTACCACTGTGTTACACAGTAGAGTGCATTTCTTTTTAATAGCTAGCTATTCGCCACACTTTCTCATGCAAACATTCATGTTTTCTGTGCTTAAGTCAAGCCCTTTGTAAAACATCTCTGTTCTTCAGAACAGAGCCTTCATAGGCACCGAAATGCCTGTGCAATTGCTAAGTTTGTTTATCTGCTTAATGTGCTACTGGGAGATCATTTTCTGAGTCACCATAGGACTGTTTGCCCTTCAGATCCTCAGTGTAGCTTCAAGAATCATAGAACCAATAAGGTTGGAAAAGACCACTGAGGTCATCCTAGTTCAACTATCAACCTGTCACCCATGTCCACCAAAGCATGACCCTACAGATATGGTTCAATATAATAGAGACTGATAGGAAGGATACTGGTATAAAATAATCTTGGGTGTGAAAACATTTTACATGAAAACAGTTTTACACATGAGTCTAGAAAATGACCATATTCCATGTGGAATTGAAACATACTGTGAGGTATGGCATTCACTTGAATATTGCTGATCTCTGAAGAGACAGAAGTTTAACATAGTGCATGAATGCAGGATTTGTCTTCCTGGTGTATTGTTTGGCATTTACCTGTAAGCAATAGGGATATCAAGAGCTGCAGGAGCAGTGCAAAGCCCATATGAGCAGGCTTTGAACAGCACAAAAAACCCAGGGAAGTACAAGCACTGCAACTGAGATGTAGATGCAGCAGAAGTGCAACCAGAATAACCAGGTGTGTTACTTCTCAAGTGAGGTTAATTTGCTGACAGGCAACATACTTGTTGCTAGTTTTTAAGAGATCACAAATCCTATCCCTTATCAGGTGAGTCTCTGTGAAACCCACAGAATGAAATCCTTGCTGTCAACAAATTCTACAACATACCCTTGAGGGTTTCCATTACACTTGGTGAGGACTAACCTTTCACCAAAGAGGCTCAAGCCAAAACCTCCATCAGAGCCACCGAGAAACACGGTGATTACCATGTGCAGCATCACAGCGAGATGGCCATGGCACAGCACTGTGGTTTAACAGAGTCCCCAGAACTCTACAACACTTCCTTATCCCCACACTTCTCTTTCCCCTTTCTCTATCAGCTTTAAAGGCTGTGCCTGCACTGTTCGAGCCTCTATCTAGCCTGGCTAGTACCAGAAGCAGCGCAGCCAGCAGGAGGTGATCCATCCCTCTGTACTCAGCCCTGGTGAGGTCGCCCCTCAGTGCTGCATTCAGTGCTGGGCCCTACTATAAGAAAGACGCAGAGGACTGGAGCCTGTCCAGAGAAGGGCAGCGGAGCTGGGAGGGGTATGGAGCACAAGTCTTATGGGGAACGGCTGAGGAGCTGAGGTGGTTCAGTCTGGAGCAGTTCGGGAGCAGAAGAGGCTCAGGGGAACTTTGCTCATGTGGTTTGCCTTTGCTCAAGCTGCTTCGCACCCGCTGTGTCAGCCAGACAGCCTTTCCCACGGGACGCCTCTTTTCGTCCTTTTCCATGCTTTTCTGGGCACATCGTGACCACAGCACCAGCCCCTCACCACGGCACCGGCCCCTCACCAGCCGCACCTCCCGCTCACACCCCCAGAGGACACAGCTCCGCCCGGAGGGCGGCGAGCCCCGCCCCGGTCTGCCCGTCAGCTCGCGGGCGGGCGGCGAGGCGCTGGGGCGCGGCTGCCGAGGCGAAGGGAGGCGAGAGGAGCTCGGGGTCGGCTAGCCGCTCCTCCTCTTCCTGCATCCGCCGCCATGGCGCCGCACCGCGCCGCTTGCTTGCTGCCGCTTCTGGTTGCGGTGGCGAGCGCGGGGCTGGGCGGCTATTTCGGCACCAAGTCCCGCTACGAGGAGGTGAACCCGCACTTGGCGGAGGACCCGCTGTCGCTCGGGCCCCACGCCGCCGCTGCCCGGCTGCCCGCCGCCTGCGCCCCGCTGCAGCTCCGCGCCGTGCTCCGCCACGGCACCCGCTACCCCACGGCCGGGCAAATCCGCCGCCTGGCCGAGCTGCACGGCCGCCTCCGCCGCGCCGCCGCCCCGTCCTGCCCCGCCGCCGCCGCGCTGGCCGCCTGGCCGATGTGGTACGAGGAGAGCCTCGACGGGCGGCTGGCGCCGCGGGGCCGCCGCGACATGGAGCACCTGGCGCGCCGCCTGGCTGCCCGCTTCCCTGCGCTCTTCGCCGCCCGCCGCCGCCTGGCGCTGGCCAGCAGCTCCAAGCACCGCTGCCTGCAGAGTGGCGCGGCCTTCCGGCGCGGCCTCGGGCCCTCGCTCAGCCTCGGCGCCGACGGTGAGTGCGGGATGCGGCGGCTGCCCTCGTCCCGGTGTGCCCAGCCGGCCCTCCAGCGCCGAGCCGTTCCCGGGGCTGCCCCGCGAGCGGCCCTCGTCCGGCCCGTCCCGTCCTCCTCCGCCTCCCGCAGGGAACGAGTCCCGCGCTGAGCGCTGCTATCCCTTTCAGAGACGGAGATCGAAGTGAACGACGCCCTGATGAGGTTTTTTGATCACTGCGACAAGTTCGTGGCTTTGGTCGAGGACAACGACACGGCCATGTACCAAGTGAACGCCTTCAAGGAGGGCCCGGAGATGAGGAAGGTGTTGGAGAAAGTGGCGAGTGCCCTGTGTCTGCCGGCCGGAGAGCTGAACGCAGGTATGGGAGCCGCCTCGGGTGCGCTTTGCTCGGTCTGCAGTTATGCAGAGTTCCTGTTTAAAATGCAAGCTAAACCAGATGCAGCCATGCAGCTTTCGGTGTGTGGGGCTGCAATAGTGTGTTTGTTAGCCAACAGAAAGAAAATGCCGTTGGAGGTATCTTTCTTAGAGATGAGTGGAAGGTAGCAGCTTTGCCTTTGTTTTGGGGGCTCAATTTTACCTTTGCTTTGAGTTATGAGTGTGCTACCTTTTAATTCTTTTGTGAAATGTTGCCATTCAGGCACAGAGATAGTTGGGAAAGATGGATGTGTCTGTGTTTTATCTTTGCTGGTCCAGAAGGAGCACATTTCCTGTGCTCAGGAAGCCCCCAGCCATAGGCACTGCTGTCGTTTCCAGCATTCCCCCAAAGATGCAGTCCTAAAACCATGGCACACTGCAGCTTAAACCCAGCCAGCAGCATGCAGGTTGAGCGTGGCAGCCAGAGGCTGCTCCACAGTGAGCAGGCACACATCCACCTGCCCCTCTTCTGCCTTCTGTGGTAGTAAGGATATCCTAGCAGTGGGCATCTATCATATGTGCATTGGCGTTCAGTGTGGAATGTGTTATTTCTCCATCATACCAACTGTAATGTGAAGAGCCTACAGTCTGAAATTTGCATTCTGCACAATAACTCTATTGGAAACTTTGTTGCTTGGCATTTGGACTGGTGATTGTTCTCAACACTGAATTGTAGTTACTTGTTTTAGGGGAAAGTTGGGAGAAAGTTGCTAGTCCTGTGGTGGTGATTTTATCTTTCACTGGTTTCTTGGATTTATTGCAGATCTTGTTCAAGTGGCTTTCCTTACTTGCTCATATGAGTTGGCTATAAAAAATGTGACGTCCCCGTGGTGTTCGCTTTTCAGTGAAGAGGATGCTAAGGTAGGTGCTAAATGCAGAGGGCAGAGAGGTTTGCGAAGCCTTCAGAAGATGCTTCAGTGTTTGGATGTTGTTCTGTGGGCAGTCAGAAGTTGTAAGTTCTGTCCCCCTTGTTCTTCAACCTTCATGAGGTTCAATGCTTCATTAGTGCTGCATTGGTCTCCAAAGAGCTGTGGGTTAATCAAACGGTAGGACTGAAATACCTTCTGCATTCAGAAACTTAAATACTGGCAGAGCCTTAATTTGTCCTGATTAAAATAATCTTTTCCTATTGCACGCTTAATTCATGAAATGCTTTTTCTTTCTGTAACACCTGAAATGCTCTGGACAACTTTGTTTTGTGTACGTTATTTTTATATGATAAAATGTCTTGACTCTAGAAGACAGCTAATAAGGTCTTCTAGGTCCTCTGTGACTTCTTTTTTGAAGCCCATCAGATCTCTAAATCTAATTCCTGTTAATAAATCTAGTAGAACCTGGATAAATATGCCTTGCTTTGGATTCCCCTTTATTCAAAAAGCACCTGATTACCCTTTGGAGAGATTTGGGGATTAAGGGTGATGTCATTTACTTTGCACTGCAAAATATGTTCAGCAGGGCCCCTGCAGAGGCTCCTAAAGGAAGCTGAGCAGACCTGTCTAAGACAGGAAGCCCCTACACATGGACATGGTTGGCCAAAGGGTGGACAATGACATCAGGAAGAAGTGGTCTCCTCTCAAAGAGGAGGAGGGTCAGCAGGAATTTGTGCAGTTCCCTTCTAGTAACTTAGTGAGGGGGGGAAAGCTCGTTCATTAAGTGGTTATTAGACACATGAAGAATATGGGGTGTTTGAGCAGCTCTGCTCGATCTCAAAGGAAGACCTACAAGTGAGTTGCCCAGCAGCACAGCAGCAATTGGTGTTCAGTGTGAAATTACACGCATGGAGTAAGAAATTAAAGCTCCATTAATGAGGTGGTGGGCTTTTTTTTTTCTCCTCACTGTATGCAATAATAAAAGCTTGTAAACTGTGTAATTTTAGGTACTGGAGTACCTGAATGACCTGAAGCAATATTGGAAGAGAGGGTATGGTTATGACATCAATAGTCGCTCCAGCTGCATTTTATTCCAGGATATCTTCCAGCAGTTGGACAAAGCAGTGGATGAGAGCAGAAGGTAAATTTAAAAAAAAAAAAAAGTTTTTGTGTTGACTGCAAGCCTTTCTGTGGTTAATCCTGAGTTGGATTTAATATGAACAAGAGTTAAACACTTCAGACACAAGAATGCCGGAAGAGTTTGGTTAGGAGAATTCGTAACAGAATAAAACCCTTAATAGAGCATTGTTATCATAGACTGTTAATAGGTTTTTTGTTTTGTTTTTTTTCCCATTGATGCTCTTGTGCTCAGTGGATTTATTTCCATCGTTTAACTTATTGATCTGCACAGGCCTCCAAGGGACAGGCAGTTACTGTGTCTGATAGTGGTAGTTTTTTTCCTGCTAAACAATGAACTTTTTGTTTAAAATGTCTTTGTTAAAAAGCATTTGTGGTGAAAGTGTGGGTTTAAAAAAAGCAGCATGATATATTGTGCTTTCTGGTTACTTGAACACTTCAGCATGAAAGTCTTGTTTTCTTTCCTCACGTGTTTGATATCTCTTGTGCTATTAAAGCTTTCTGTTCAGGCTGAAGGTGCTGAAATGCAATTACAAAAGAGCAGTTATTCCAAGTGAACCCAAACACTCAGTAACCCTAGATGAGAACTGTCTGCTGCAAAATCCACCAAGCCTGAACTGCAACAGCAAACCAGCCTTGTCATGCCTGCTTCTTTATAACTGCAGAAGGGCGAACTTAGGCAGTATGCTCAGTGTCCTGTACAGGCATTTGAGCCCTGAAGCTGTTGTAAAAGCCTTGGTTTGTTGTACGAACATGAGAGCACCATGAGTAATTTAGCCACCAGCCCAGGAGCTCTCTCTTGGATATTTAGCTTCACATCCTTACTCATCTGCAGCAAAACTGCCCATTGGGAACAATGCTGTAGGTGTAGGAAGTTGTTAGGCCCCACAAGTATCTGTTAACAAACTCAAAGACAGCACAAGCAAGAATCTTCAGAGGAGGCTGGTCTGGTGAAGTGGTTTGTGTTCAGCTAGTTCCATGGTTTGACAAGTCATTTTGTGTCAGAGAAGGAAGAACAGCAGTGGTACTGCTTCCAAGAACTCTTACAGCCCTCAAAATTGCCTTTAATGCGCCCTTGGAGGTTTAAAGTTGTAGACAAGATGCCTGTGTTATTGTGTGTATTGTTTACTCCTATCAGCTGGTTTCGGTCAGTAGCAGTGATCTGTTGTAGCGTAGAGAGAACAGCATAGAAAACAAAGGCTTTAGTTACAGGTTTGGGTGTTTATGTCACAAAATTACCTGTATTTGCTTTCAAGTGCCAGTAATAAAATTTTTGAGAGCTGCGTTAGGCTTAAAAACAGTGCATATGAAAATAATTTGCAACCTATATTAATGTTGTTCAAACAGAGGAATTTCAAATTCATAACTTAGTGATCAACCATGTGAATTAATACCTGAGCAGGTAAGTGTACAAATGTTTACAAAAGTACACAAAATCAAGGAGGTGATATCAAGATTGAATAAGGATTGTACCTTTACATTGATTATTGGAATCAATGTACGAGTAGCTTGAGGTGAGCAAATTCAACTTTGATATTGATACAGAAAGAGTAGTTGTATGTGGTGGATGTACTTGCATTCCTAGCATCTTTGGGCCTTTAGTTCTAAATTTAGGGTACTGAAGTAGGTCAAAAATATGTAAATTATTTTGTATTTCAGGAACAAAAGCTTAAGTCACTGATACTTGAAGCTATATCTGTGTGTTTTTTTACTTGATAATGTGTAAGAAAGCACTTTATTTTCCCCAGTCATTTGACAGATTGAAAGTAGAGGTAGCCTTGCAGTTTTGGATTAGAGGAAAAAAGAAATTGTGAAGTCTTCCTCCTTGGAGATCTTCAAAAGCTGCCTTGACACTGCCCTGGGATACGGCCTCCAGATATCCCTTGCCACCTCAACCATTCTGTAACGCCAATAATTTCTTAGCAGAGAGGACTGTGAAGAAGTTGTTCATTTAGATTTTTGCCCGTTGAAGTTCTAAGTTAAACATCAACAGTGATAGAACAATTGTACCAGAATTCTCGAATTGTTAGTTGGCCTTTTTGTTGTGCTTCAACACACAAAACTGCTGGGTGCAGAGATGCTCTGCGTTAAGCCCTCTTCATTTTGCTATGAACAGGCTAGAACTTGTCAGTTGTAAGCATGAAACCAACATAGCACTGAGGACTAATTGTGAAGGAAGGGTGGGCAGAAGGAGGTGGCTGTTGATACCCACCTCTCTGCAGCCAGCCTGGACACTGTGCTGTCAAATCATTCTGGTTTTTGGAAATCTAAGGCTGTCAGAGCTGCTGATCCCTCTCATTTTGAGGGTGGTGGAGTCAAAGCTGTGGTTATGCTAGATTGCCATTTAAATAAACCTCTCCTGTATCCTTTCTTCAGCCTATTGGGAAGCTAAGTAAAAAATGCATGAGACCACAGGTCATTAACATCCAACTGTGAACAGATTGACAAGCACACTGCTGTGAAGTCTTCCGTATATGCTGTGTCTGCCTTTATGAAGACAGAAAATAAAAACAGTGAGGAGATGAAGAGCAGGTTAAAAGTGAGCAGACAAGCAGAGCAAAACCCCTGTGCCCTTCTGAAACATAAAAAATAACTTCTTAATGTAGCTTGTCTCATACAAGGAGAATGATCTGTTCTATTTGCTTTTAGTGTATTTATTTCAAAAATCCTTTAGTGCTACTTAGTAGCTTTAATTCTTAACTGTGTATCAACTCTGTAATAAATAGACAAAATTCACATCTGCACTTCTAGTTTATTGACAGCTTATTCAGCAGCCCCCAAATTTCTTGGGAAGAGCGGGTGTGGGAGGCAGAGTAGTGAAGGATTGAGATAATCTCATCCTGTCTTAGAGCTTAGGCCGTGGAATCAGAATCACGGAATATCCCAGGTTTGGAGCGATCTATAAGGATCATCGAGTTCAATTGTAATACTTAGAACATGTCATTTAGCAATGAGATGTTGAGGAGAAGCAGTGAAGGCCAGCAGATGGATGTCCATCAGGATGGTCCTTCCTCATAAGAATGGTCACTTCCAGTCCCTTCTTGTATGAAAAGAAACACCTAAAAACTCCACTGGTTAAAACTTGTTACTAGAACCCATCTAGAAGAGTCCTGAGCTTTTGATTATAAACTGTAAAATCAATTGTAATCAGACATAATCACAAGTGAGACAATTCTAGGGATGCCTGGAAGGAAATAACCCACGGGCCAAAATGCAGGTGTACAACTGTTGTTTTTTTTTTAATCTAAACTGAGGTGCTGAGAGGCACCCTATCCTACATCACCCTGTTGCTCACCATGGGTGGTGTTGCAATCCCTTGTGAATCAAGCATGTGGCTCCATGACACTGGCACCAATAAGCCTGGACCTCCGAACGACAGAGCACAACTGATGGAATCACTGAGGTCGGAAGACACCTCTAAGACCACTGAGCCCAACCAGCTAATCCTTGAGCTCCCTTGGCTGCCCTTGGAGCTGCTACACCCTCATCTCTGTTTGTTACCATAAACAGAGAGTCATGACTGTCATGATTATGTGGGAGGAAGCTTGCCTCCTCCTCCCAGCCAGGAGAGCCCTGTCAGAGCATGGAAGAGAGGAACATTTTCAGTCGATCCAATATATGCTGGCACTCTGCAAATAGCTAACTGAACAACTAGCCAGCCTACTGCCAGTGCCATTCTTAGGGACTGCTGATCTCCCAGGGATAACTTCAGGAAAGTTGTTTTATTTGGGATAATTGTTCCATGGCATATGCTGCAGGACATGTAGCTGAGAGGGAGAGTCCTTCCTAAGTACAGGAGAGCATCTCCCATTCTATGGAAGAATGGGAGAATTGTGCAGGAGATAACCGACTGGAAAACATGAACTTACATCCTAACCCAGGGGATCATCTCTAGTAGTCCAATTTCTGATAGACAAATGTAAATACAAATTTATATCTGCTAAAGGCCAAGAAAATGAATCAAGCAAAATTTACCCAAAGCACGTTGTCTGAAGAATGATGTGATGTATTCAGTGAAACCTATGTTAAGAAATTGACAGAAGTTTAAAATAATAGCAAATGACTTCAAAATTTTCAGTGATTTCTGGAATATATTATAAAAGCAAGAATACTTGCACAGATCTGTGATATTTAAAGATAGTGTAAAAATTTAATTGGGAAGAATCACTTTCAGTTCATTGTGTTGTTGTTACTCTGGATGGAGGCAGTGAGTTTGTGCACGTGTGAAGAATGGCGACCCTGGCAAAAATGGAGATCTGGCAAAATTCAAAGCTGGGTGAGCAGTCTGCTTACCCTGTGTCTTCCGAAGTGGGGGCTGAAGACATCTCAAGCTTATTGCCTTCTGCAAAAGGAGCATGTAACCCCATCCCACGACGTCAGGTGGCAGTATTAAAGCACTGAAGGCTTAAGTACAGCCTCTGTTAGGCAACCTGGTGCGCTTAAAAATAGGTGGAAATCTGCCACCACCAGCGTTGGAGAGGGAGACTTATTTGGGGAGCTGTAGCGGTTTGAGAGTGCAACTGAGAACAAGAAATCATATGAAAGGAAAACATGCGCATGTTTTAACCGTAGAAAATATTTGGTTGTGTATGCATGTGTTGTTATTACTATATGGTGTTATAAGTATATCTTTAATGGTATACTACAACTTTGGGGCAACAGATTAAGTACATGTGCAGCTGTTCATTGCTCAGAAAATGAGCCGCTGTGGTGGCAAAATGTTGTCTTATTTAGCTGTGTGTAACACTGATATATCTCTGATTTATTCCGATACTACAGGAAGAATGATTTTATTTCTAGAATCTTTCAGTTGCTCCAAGTTCTTTTTTGTTTGTTTGTTTGTTTGTTTTTTTAAGGAAAGTTTAGTTTGGGCTATCCAGTAGCAGCAGTTAGAGCATTTCTGCTCAAGCAAGGAGTTGTGGTGTCTGGATTTGTGTTTCTGTTCTAGGCTTGTTGGTAGAGAGTGGCGCTAACAGCTCTACGTTTTATAGCATATTTCAAATA